TATTATTAACCCCTTCTGCCATCATTCCTCTCTTATCGACTCAGAGAGGCAGATGCACAAGGAATGTAACGATATCAAAAAGAAAAATGCGACTATACTTCACGAAGCAAAAAAGAAAGTGGTCGACATAAAATATTACATATATATGTTAGCGGCCAATGTTAGATAACGTCCAATGCCAGATTGAAAAGTGAGTAATTTACGTCCAATCTCGGATTCGTCTAGTTCAAACTCATATTTGCCTACGCCAATGTTAGTTTGATAGAAGCTATTTATGAAGAAGCGTTTCTCAACATACAAGTTGATTAGCTCTAATTTTTGGGCTACAAAGAGACTTGAATGACACATTGAAAATTTGAGGAGAACTCACTCTGATAATATTTCTCTGTTCGAGTTATGATCGTTCGTAAAACTTCGGATTTTCACGAAAGTATTCGAAAAAAAATCAATTGAACGATATATCATGAACCCAGAAATATTTTATAAATCTGAATCCCATATTTATCAGATTATTGATAACCTTCCATTAGAATAAATATTTATGCTCCGAGTAAAAGGAATTTTTTCTCTTCCTTGACTCTCCGAACTATTAACATACAAGTTTTTTTCATTATTTATTTAAAAAGGAGTATGCTTATTTAAATTGGAAAGCTAAGGAATTACCAGACCTTCTGTCTAGATCTATTGACAACTGAAAGTTTTAGTAGTATTCTAAAAAATAGAAAAACATAATTCTGTAGATAGTTTATTGTTTTTTAGATACCTTCATGAAAATCTGAAGTTTTACGAACGATCATAACTCGAACACAGAAATATTATCAGAGGGAGTTCTTCTCAAATTTTTAATATGTCATTCAAGTCTCTTTGTAGCCCAAAAATTAGAGCTAATCAGCTTATATGTTGAGAAATTTGTCTTCATAAATAGCTTCCATCAAACTAACATTGGACTAGGCCAATCTAAGATTCCACTGAAAATTTCAGGCGGATCTTAGATTGAACGTAATCCAACATTGACTGCTAACATATATAAATCTGACTCACACTGTAACAATGAGAGAGAAAACTTCTAATTATCTTCATGCAGCTATTCACATTCCTTTATTTATGATATTATGCTTTGCTTTCGAGTTTACAAATAATATTACAATGATGGAAGAAATTATTCATTACGAACATGTTATTCTCTGTTTTAATTTAAATTTAAATCGATCGAAAGTAGGAGGACGAGCACTCTCTTCCCATGAAAGTCCTCGAACTTCTAAGAAAGGAAATAAATGCTTGAAAAGTGCAATAGCTGATTCGACCAGTATTTTCGATGGCCGATAGGTGCCTGAATTGTTGTTGAGTTGAAAGTTGGCATTTTCATCATGCCAAAGTTCACCTGCAAATCGTACATCTGNTAATATTACAATGATGGAAGAAATTATTCATTACGAACATGTTATTCTCTGTTTTAATTTAAATTTAAATCGATCGAAAGTAGGAGGGCGAGCACTCTCTTCCCATGAAAGTCCTCGAACTTCTAAGAAAGGAAATAAATGCTTGAAAAGCGCAATAGCTGATTCGACCAGTATTTTCGATGGCCGATAGGTGCCTGAATTGTTGTTGAGTTGAAAGTTGGCATTTTCATCATGCCAAAGTTCACCTGCAAATCGTACATCTGTTGAATGATCGGCTAATGTGATATGTTTACACAGAAGGTAGTAAGGTATTTTATAACTTTGTGGAATACGGGCAAAAATAATACAATCACCAAGAATGACTATATTGCATCGTGCCATGTCTGTCTGTTCCGGTAACAATTGTTGGAAGAATTCAGCTTCTGATGCAATGGGAGAAAGATTCTGCATTTCTCGATTCAGTTGAGAACGTGAGACGGCTGTCATAGATTCTGAATAAACGAAATCGCGCTTCATTCGATCTGTTGCTGTGAGAGGAGCTGGAAAGGAAGGCAAGATATCTGGAAGATATGTGCCAATGATATGCGAAGAAATATTTAGTTGAAAGATTGACAATTCACCACATACAATGTTTATGATCCGACCCAGATACGATGGGGCCACTTTGTACAAAGTCGCTTCTTCGTTTTGCATCCAGCACATTTCACGTAAGTGAATTGACGATTGTTTTTGAAACACATCTAAAAAACACGGCGTGTTACACGAAAGAAAACATGATAACAATCATTTTTTTTATCTCCTATCATAAAACTCGCGAGTCTTATGGGAGAGGGTATTCTTGCGATGAATCATTGCAAACCTATAGAGTTTTCGCCGATGTACACAGATGGTTTGGATTACGCACGTGCAATCTGTTTGAGAGTGATTGTTCTACGGGATCAATAGTGAATATCCTATTTATTTTGTGAAGAAGAACTTTATTTATATGAGTGAGGTGGAAAGCAACTCGAGGATACTTGAGAAAAGAAAGATAACATTCACGTTTGACTCGCACTGTAACTATGAGAGAACTTCGCACGTATGTACAGACAAACATGCTTTTAAGAGGTTTGACTATTACGGTGTATATGCGAAAAGAATCTTTTAGTCAGGTGCAAAACACTTGACTATGAGTGGTATCGTCATGTTGTCTATGCACATCTTGCTAACAACGGAAAACACAGTCAAGTTTCAATGATATCATATTAATTTGCATCTATAAATTATTTGGAAAAGTCACGGATTCGAATAGATTAAAGTAAGTTTGACACGCGACATATTGCTCCCATAAATATGAACTGCATGCCTCATCGCTTCGATCTGTTGTTCTCTATTTGATAATATGGAAGCTAAACAATTTGTCTCTTACAGCATTATTTGATTAAGTATATCTCATTGTCGTCAGAAACGTGATTAGCAAATATCTTTTGTAAGTTTGCTCTGTTGTGATAAATGCTAAAAACACGTACTAACAGGGAAAAATCAGGTAACTAAGTAAATCTCCATAATCGATTTCCTGTTCGAGATTTTATAGAAAACAGAGAGCATCCAGTACTCACTAAGAAAATCAGAAGAAAATATTTTGTGACAGATTCAAATTGAACTGTATATGATGGTAATATCTTTTAAATAATACTGGTTTACTGATGTTCAATCGAGAACATCGCCCGAAAAACATCATAGAGTATTTGCTTTTAGATGAGATGTCTTTGTGAAGTACATAGTCTTGGTCACTTTCTAATCCAATATCTCTGCGAATGACATTTTAGTGTGTTTCGAAATCGAACAAAATAAGTAATAACTTCACCTAGTTCGTCCTTTTTTTCTAATTTAATGTATAAATATGCGTTATGTAGATTTTAAAAATATTTATCCTATCAGCATGATATTTATTGTGCTATGCATGTCAAAAGGAAACAATTGAAATACAGTGCTCGTGTTTAGCCAATAGAAGTCCATCTGTTGAGAGCTTTGTTTTTAATAGGTTAAGTAAAGTGAATAATTTTGTCTATAAAAGTAGCTATGCAACACTAGGGATAATCATTAGTAGTTTTACTGCTTCTGTTAATCATGGCATTGATACAGTTGCTGATAATTTTCTCATTATTTAAATCACTTGAAGCTCGCTATTCTTTTTATTATACGACGCAGAGACCAGAATCGAATTTAACATTCGATTGTTGGTATGCTCTCGTGGTTGATCATACTGTCGATCAAAGTATAGTTCGTACTTCTTCCATTTATAATTTAATTCCCTATTGTTGACGACTTGATCATCATGGAGAAAAATAAAAATTATCGATCAATTCGTGTAGAAATATAGAGAATAGTATTCCTTTCGCTGAATTATATCGAACAGGTGTGACAAGTGTACAATTATTCGATTGGACTGAGCCTATTGATATTGCTGAGCGATACGAAATAAATGGTCAATATTCAAATGAAATATTTCACAATTGTTCATCATCCTGGTTTGGTTCAACATGTCAATATCGATTAGAAAATGATGAAGCCTCTTCATTTTTACCTGGCTGATATCATGGTTCACCACCCACGTGTCTTGATTGGCGTGAAATTTGTGATGGTAAATTTGATTGTTTAAATGGAGAAGATGAACAATTTTGTCGAGCATTAGAAATAAATGAATGTTCTGGCCGTGAATATCGATGTTACTTTGGTGGACAATGTATTCCGTCTGAATTTGTTCTTGATGGGACTGATGAAATCAATACCGATATTAAAAATATACTATCGACAGCTAAGTCTATGTTCAGTCCACCATTTCGATGTGAAGAATAAAAAAGTCGACGTTGTCTGAATTTTCCATGCGGTGACGGTGAAATTTTCAATTATCCCAAACCTCACTTTGGACATGCATGCAATGATGATCGAGGTAAATATGTAACTTCAGCTATGTTCAATGCTTTAGACCATATAACAAACGTCAATTGTCGGCATGTAGTTTATTGTTTACTTCGCTTTGATCAAATTCGCTATATATATATATATATATATATATATATCAAGTAAATAGTAATATTTATTCTTTGCCAGACAGTGGTAAATAGCTGCTAATTGAAATGATTTGTTTGGTCAGAATATCCTATCTTGTACGGTTGATTTCAATTTTTTACTTGACTAATCGATCAGCTATCGAATTCGAAAAAAATCGGATGTCTGATTTTATTTGTTTTATGCCAAGTCTATGTCTTTTTTTATTTCATTATCCACATTCGTTAAAATATATCTCAGAACATCGAGTCAAAGATGGTGAAAAAGATTGTTACTTTGACGAAGATGAATAGGACAAATAAAAAACGTCAACTTTCGCAAGGAAATATCCCGTGTGGATTGATTTGTGATGGTGTAAATGATTTAGACACGGCAAATATGCCGATTCAAACCGATGAAACTCATTGTCAATGATGGCCTTGTAACAATGTTTGGCGTTGTCTAAATCATATTGACGAACTCAATTGTCCTGACACACCATGCGCATTAAACGAACATAAGTGTTGAAGTCCATCGGGAAGTTCATTTTCTTGTGTGCCAGCATTTAATCTAGTAGAAACATATTCACATTGAACTACTTTTCGGCTCTTCCGTAAAATCTATCTCAATAATGGTACTCATGAAGATCCGACGAAATATTTCCAATGGAATGAAACAAAATGCATCACTTCAGAATATATTGGCTCGACTCAATCATTATCACGACGGACTCAAGAAGATGTTTGCCTAATGCAAACTGAACTACCACCTGCCCATGAACTAGTTGCTGTTCTTATGCTAGACAATGGCGGTGCCAATTGCTTTCTAGTATCCCTCGAAAATTCCAACAAACAACCAAGACTATTCCTAAGCACATCGCGATTGAACTATTTTCCAATAGTTTATGCGAATTTTTCCGCTCGAAAAACCACGTGATTTGATAGAAAAACGATAATTCAAGCAAAAAGCTACGAAAAATATTGGTATTGCGGCCGAAGAATGATTACAGACTTTGACAGCAATACAGCTATTCGATGTCTTTGTCCTCCAAGTTATTTTGGTGATAGATAGCAATCGCAAAATCAACATATTAATTTAACACTGGAATTCGTGTATCGTCCCACGACATTTGTCATGCCCGTATTTCAAATTATTATCATGCTTATTGATGAACAAATTACATATGTATCGAAACGTGCTTGTGGCATAAAATTTAATATCTATTTCCTCCACCCTAATCAACCGAAAAATTCGTCAGCTAATTATTCTACAGATATCGATGTTTTTTATAAGACAAGGTTAACCTATTGGCCAAGTTGGCATCTATCAATGCCGTTTCAATTTCTACCAGCGAATCGAATAGCGACTCGATTGTTTATACCGACTGTAAAACAAATAGAATCATGGCCGATGTATCCGATATGCCAATACAAATTTCACCTATGTTTGCAATGTCATATTCAACACAATTGTCCGTATTCATCGGATTCATTTTGTTATATCTCATCGATTTGTATTTGTCCATTGAATAAATATGATCCGCATTGCTATTTAAAGCATTCAATTTGTTCAGCAAAAAACAACCCATGTAAGAACAATGGACTTTGCGTACCATTTGATGATCGTATCGATAGAAACAAATTTGCTTGTGTTTGTGTCAAGAAAGTTTTTACGGCACCCGATGTGAAAATACTAAAAATCGTATTCATGCTAAGTTTGACTAAGACATACGCGAAGAAACAACAGCTTTTGTTTTACATTATATTACTGCATACAAAAGTGCTCAACATCCACGTACAACAATGTTTAAAAAGATAAAATATAACGAAAATGCACTTGCATTGTTTGATACTTATCCATTTCATATTCTCACGACTGAATTATTCAATCAAAGTTGCTATTTGCTTGCAGTACGAGAAAAATTTATTGAATCGGAATATATTCAAACTGAATTAGTGGCCCAACAACGATGTTATTTCATAGATGAACTCTTGAATGAAACGGTTCGTTCTTATCCGCGTTTACATCGTATTAAATATTACCCTCTTTTATATCGACAACATCGTGAATTAAAGTGTTTTTATGACAAAAACTATATGTGCTTATGTGACATGGATCGATTTTCGAATTGTTTCGCATTCGACCATTCAATTACGTACGATTGTCAAGGTTATAATGATTGTGAAAATGATGGGCAATGCTTTCAAGACAATACTACTCGTCCTAGTTTATCGATATGTGTTTGCCCAGATTGCTACTATGGAACCAAATGCCTATTTTCTATCAGTGGTTTTATTTTATCACTTGATTATATTCTTGGTTATCATGTTAAACCGAATGTTTCATTTTTTCAACAGCCATTAATTGTAAAAATGACTGTAGTATTCACAACACTTATGTTCACTGTGGGATTGACCAATGCATTGTTAACATTTTGTGTTGAGAAAGCAAGAGATGTCGATCGTGGCTTTTATTAATTAGTTTCTTCGTGTATTTCTATGATTATTATAATTGTATTGATGATAAAATTTTGGCAACTAGTTCTATCCCAAACGACTATTATTACGAATCGAACATGGCTTAATTTAAATTGTCTACTGTTAGATATGATCCTTCAAGTTCTGATAGCGTCAAATGATTGGCTTGCTGGATGTGTCTCGACTGAACGAATATTTAGTGTTGTCAAAGGTGTTAAATTTAATAAATCGACGAATAAAAAAAGTAACTAAATGGATTACGCTAGTTATTCTTTTTTTAACATTAATAACTCATCTTCATATTCCGTTACATCGTCATTTAATCGATGATATTGATACTGATGAACAACGGAGTTGGTGTTTAGCTCGATGTTCTTCTTCGATGAATATTTTTAATCCATTTATTACTCTTGCTCATTTCTTTATTCCATTTTCAATTAATTTATTATCTATTGTATTCGTTATTATTTTAATAGCTCATTCTCGTTTTACTCTACAGCCAAGATTAACATATAAACAACATTTAGAATTACATCTTATGGCATCATACACATTGGTACTTTTAGCGTTATCAAGATTAATCATATCTTTTATAAGAGGGATGTATGAAATCACCGAATAAGTCATGGTTATATCTTTCGGGTTGTCTAATTTCATTTTTACCATCAATGATGACGTTTGTCGCCGATGTTTTACCTTCAACATTATACAAGAATGCGTTTACAAGTGCTATAAACCGCAGTGTTCAACGATTCAATATGCTGGTGAAGAAATAATAATGTGATCTTGTCGAGAATATGAACTAGATATGATAGTCGACTAGTAGAAATGAATTTATAAATCAGATCAAGAATCGATAAAAAAAAGCCAATGAGCCCTGTTGATCTGGTTTGATTTACATTAGTTTCATTAAATATTATGTAGATGCCTAAAAGCTTACAGTCTTGTAAGTTGTAAAGATTGTTTTTGAAACTCTCTGTTCAATGTGATTTTAATAAATAAAAACATCCTAGTTTCACTCTCACTTAATATCATTAATGATTCATATAGTTTTGATGCGAAATATTATACAGACTCATTATCCGCTCCTTTTTCATATAACGGATGGTGTACTAATTTCGTTTTTGATATAGCGCTACGATGGAATGTTGTAGAAAGTTACTTGCATTAGGACACAGCTTGTACGGTGTTAGCGACAAATTCGTCCAACTGATCAATACCACAGGAAAGCCTGTGTTGCAATGAACAATATGGTCCTTAAAAACGCTGAAAGTGAGCAATGAAAAAGCTCAAACGCATATATTTGGAGAAAATATTTGTGCCGAAAGTTGCAGAAGAATTTTCTAATTACAAACTAGTTATTTGTACTGCACATAAAAAAAATAGATTCCACTTGGCCACCAAGTCGCGAGGATCTTTTTTATTCACAACAACATCGGTTGTGCAGTTTACTATGTGTTGGCGGTTGTTTCTATAAAGACGACTTGTCCTGCACGATATGATCATACGCCATGAATGTACACACTATTTACAATGTGTTCGTGGATTTTTCTGTAAATGTAGATATTCGTCAAGATAATAACATTAACAGCGCTTTTCAAAAATGAAATAAATGTAAGAAAAAAACACTTTGATTTTTTTGTCAATTTTATAAGCATTGCAAAATAAATTAATGAAATCTGCTGTATAAACCATTAAATATACAACAGTCGTCATCGGCGGGTGGCAAGGTGTGGCAGCTGCCACACCTAAAATTTTTCTTTAGTTGTAATTTTTGAAGAACCTTTTATTACATCACAACAATTCTCATAGTCACTTTCAGAATGATGAACTTTATGATATGATTTATAATGCTTATTCACATAACTGAGAAAGAGAATAGAACAAGAAAATGTTCTTTTTTCAATAATAGTGAAGTTAAATCTTTCATTCTCGAAAATCATTTGAATGTTGCTTTACCTGTAATGAACGAATTGTTTAGGATTTTATTAACGATATCTGTAAACACTTGTGGATGCGAAAGAAGCTTTTCGACATTGAGAAGAATCAAAACTTATCTTCGAACAACAACAGGAGAAGATCGTTTATCAGCACTTGTATTGCTAAACATTGAACGTGAATTTGAAGTTGACTATGATGAAATTGTAAAATAATTCATAGCAGCGAAGAACAACCGAAAAATAATATTTTAATTGTTTTTATAAATCTTTGGGTGACAGGTTTCGGTGCCATTGTTTTTTGTTGTTTGATCATTTTTTTTATTAGTGAAATAATAAAAATAACATGAACAGAATTACTAATATAGAAACTCTTTCTTATGAAAATGCACGTACACTAACAAGATTTTGTAATTAACTTCTTGTGGCTTTCTCAGATATTTTAAAAATTTTGCCACACCTATAAAAAAAAGACGCTGGCCTGCCGATGGCAATCATATAGAACTCGGATGCAAAAAAAAATATTTTATGCTGATTTCATGTAGTTCTTTTCTTATCTATCAATGCTCTGTTATTTTTTCTTATAGTTCTACTATTTTATTAACATACTGATTAACATCTACTCAATGAAAAGTAGAACTAATATCATAATTCATTACACAGGATTTATATTATTGTTCTCGGGCATTGATCCTTTCGAGCTTTTTTTCCAGCTTCTCAAATACACTTTTCCTTCTTCCGTTTTTTCGTATTGCATAGAAAAGTCGTCGAAGACGAGTATCATATTTCGTTCACCAGCGCGCTATGACTTAATCAGTGTTTGTCATACAAGCACATGGCATTAAACATTGTTTTTAGTTCTATTTTACTAATAATAAAACTTGAATGTTTGACGATTTCTATTTTGAACCATGTTGCTCAGAAAAACAAAATTGCTACTTACCTAAGAAAATCTAACTTCGTATGAAGATATTCAGACAACTAAACTTAGGTTGATCTGCAATGAAATCAACAGAAATTTATTTTGAAATAAATACCATTCAGTAGTATTTGCCGATGACAAGTTACTACATGTATCTGGTTTATGTACTTGGTGATTAAACTAAGACAGAGACATACAAAACAACCATGTGTTTTGCGTTCAAACCTGAAATGACATAGTCGGTTGATTCTTCTTGGCTTTAAGACTAAATGATCTTCTGGTTAAATGATATTCAATACGATCCCGATCATCACTTCCGTCGAGCAGCGTAGTTGTGTTATTTTAGGCAAATAATGCGTCACATTCATTATGATTGGCTAATGTATTCTTCGCTACTTTTTTTTATCGCTATTAGCACTTCCTTGTTGGGGTGATATAAATATATCTTGCCTATGAATATCCATCGAACGAAAATATATGACTTTTCTCTCGGCATTAGCATTGTTGTTCTTGAGATCTAATTCTGTCAAACGGGCACTACATTCTTGTCATTCTTATGATCTTCGTTATCACGCTCACACCCCTATCTACTATTGGAATATCTTTCATTCGTCGAGACTATTCTTTTTTCAGATTTGAGAAGTATGCTAAAACACCTGCGTTAGGGGAACATGGGAAAGGACAAGTCCTTAAGACTTTGACAAACGTATGAGATGGTATTTATTCACTTCCCGTTCTAAATCATGCAACAATCGATAAAGTCAACAATATGATAAACGACAACAATCACATATGATTTTCTTCATCGTCATGAAGATTTGTTGCGTCTTCCCCTGTGACTCGGCTTAAAAATTTCAGTCATGACAATATCATATGTTCCTATCGTTTCAGAGAAGCATAGCTTATTCCATTGCATTCACATAAAAACATATCAGTGAAAACGCTCCTATTATTTAGTTTGTTGTACTGGTCTCATAGGCATACTGCATCCATTGCTTTCTTCATTGTAAACGGATTCATAGAGCAGATATACATCCATCTTAATTTTTCAGTTGCTAAACTCAACTCCGATACATAACAATAATGTCTGAGAGGTAGGAAAATAAAATAAATAATCGAGTAACTCAAAAAGGATTACTACATTTCAACATTAGTTAGAAGTACGACAGCACATACTCTTCTGAAAATCGATCGATCCGCGCGATCGAATTTAACTTCGCCAACAATGAGCAATCGCAAAAGGGCTGAGATGCAATTACAAAGTTTACTCAATGAATCAGAAAAATCATTACCTGCATTTGTACGCCGTGCCGGTGATAATCTAGGTAGTGAACAATTATCCGTTGAACAAATATCAAAATTACTGAAAACTCAAGAATTTCTTATCAGACGTCTTGCGTGCATTTTCTACTCGTCAACAAAGAATGTGCAAGATGTAAAAACACTCACTAAACTTCAAGCACAAAAATTAACATGTATTCTCAATGGTACTATGGAAGTACGTGCGCTTGTATTTTTCATGATACTCGACGAAACCGGTGATGAATATGTGACCAGGGCTGGAATGACAGATTTTTATGAAAAATATTTCAAAGGTCTTAAAATTTTAGATGGAGATCGAATACAAGAGGTTATTCAAGTACTTCTGCAAAAATTTCATCTTGATCAAGTAAGTCCAACGAATATGATTGTCATCAGTGGAATGCAATCAAACTGCCTATATTTATTCTTTTCCTTAGAATACACACTTTGAAAATAATTATCATTGTCTCGGTATGGAGTTTTTCTAGAGATTATTTGTCATATCTATTAAAATCCACAGGTTGATATATTTATATAGTTTTCATGAGTAGCTCTTTCATAGATCACAAAATAACAATAAAAATGCATCAGCGGTAAAGGCGGTCGCTCCTGAAGATTGATTTAAAAAATTCATACCTTAGATTGGTCTCTCGCTCTGCGCGCATTGAAGTTTTCAGGATCTACATTTCTGGAAATTCCTTTTTTTGTCCAATGTAGAAGGATAAAATAGATTTTGAAGAATTCTACTCAATTGTATATAAAGATCTAACATTTCTTGAATGTCTGTCACAATTTACGGTTCATCCAACGTGGTTTACGAACTCTCCATCGAGCCAACCAGCAAAACAGAGTAAATTTCAAGAATTACTTTCAAATCATTGTTGCAAACGAGAAAATAAGGAACAAAAGAAAACTAAGTTATCAATGGCTTATATGAAGAATAATCTTTCACGTATAATCATGTTAATTGTTTATTTATTAATTAATCTTGGCCTAGTTATATATGTTATTTGGTATCGAACAGTCAAAGTAAAATCAAATGTACCAATCATATTTGCTCGTATTTTTGGCATGTTACTGAATTTCAATTGTACATTTATTATTGTACTCATGCTTAAGCAAACGATACTAATCATTCGAAGCAATAAATTCTTACGAAAATGTATACCTGTTGATGATCATATAGATTTTCATAAAGTTGTAGGACGTATTATTGTGGTTTTTTCTATTTTACATACTGTTGCACACGTAGTCAATGTTGGAGTATATAACAGTTAGTAAAAATTTTGATTATGCCAAATAGAAAAATTTTTCTTTGTTGTTTTCAATGTTTAGGCCATTCCTGGGTGGCATATCTGGTAAGACAATTCAAATTTAAGTAATATTAATTCGATATTTTGTGAAACACGATCTGAAAGGAGTGTTGAATTATATAGGGTAGTAATTTGGACCCCCCCCTCCCCCACAGGCCCGGATAGAGAAATTAATTAGTTTCTCTGTCACTGTTTGTGATGACTTCTGAGGTCTCTGTCGCGCTCTGCGATGGTCTCTAGAGACTCCATACGCCATCATACAGACCGCGACAGAGAAGCTCCACAGACCACGGTAGACGGATTCCGGAAAAGGAGCTTTATCGTGTTTCATATTTTAATCCCGCAGGGATTGCGGTAACAGCTTTTTTTAATTTTCCAGTTTACCACAGAACCAAATATTGGATGGATTGGTGGCTTTGCATCATTGAGTGGTTTTCTTCTATGTATTATTCTGACTCTAATGGTGGTTTGTTCCATGAGATGGATTCGACGTGGTGGACACTTTCAAGTGATTAAAATTAAAATTAATTTTAATCTTTTCCTGCTTTAATTGGATTTTATTCTAGGTATTCTATTGGTCACATTTATTGTATTTGCCTTTTTATATATTGCTTATTATTCATGCTCCGAATTGTTGGGTACGTTTTCTCAGGAAATATATTTAACTAAATAGCTATGGATTTATGACTTCTAGAAATGGATTATTGGCCCATTATTCATTTTTTTCCTTGAAAAAGTCTATTCAATTGTTACCAGATATTCATCAAGAAATGGCCGAACTTATATTCATTCAGTTAGGATTGAACAATCGAATGTGATTAGTTTAAATATTCATCGACCAAAACATTTTAAGTAAGATTGCTCATTTCATAGATAAAAACTCACGAAAAAAGGCATCTAACTGTAAACTATCAATTATAACGATATCCATTAGAATACATCTGCTTTGCCTTCTCGAAATTTTCATTATTATTTCGTTTCAGTTTTCAATCTGGTGATTATATCAGCATTAATATACCACGCGTTACTCTCTATGAATTTCATCCATTCACAATCAGTAGTGCTCCAGAAGAAAAAGATTATATACGTGTACATATTCAGGCAGTAGGCGATTGGACAAAACAAGTTTATCAACGTTTCAAAGAAATGTCAGAAGAAGAAGCGCATGAAAATCAAATAAAAATCTATCGTGCCGATATTCATCCACACGAATCATTAGCTAATTTTCAAAATGTAGAACACGATCAAACTGGTAATCAATCGAATGTGAAGTCGAATAAACGAGAACCAATTTTTGTCAAAGGACCTTATTCATCGTGTGCTCGATATGTATTTGATTGTAAACATGTTGTTTTAATCGGAGGAGGTATTGGTGTAACACCGTATGCATCGATTCTATCAAGTCTGATGGCACAATTTTGTGCATCGTCTATTATTTGTAAACATTGTAATCGCACGAATTATCTCTCAACAGGTCTGAGCGGAAAACGTCGATTACAAAAAGTTGATTTCGTCTGGGTAAATCGGGATTACAAAAATTTCGAATGGTTCCTCAATCTTCTTCGTCAATTTGAACAAGAACAAGAAAATTATTTAGCATTAAATCCAAATGAAAAACGTTTTCTTGATCTACATTTATACTTTACTGAAATAAAACACGATGAAAATATTGGTAATGTACCATTAGAATTTGTAACGAAGACCTGGGCAGAAATGACTGGACAAGATATATTTACAAGTTTAAAATGTAAAACACATTTTGGGCGACCTCAATGGGAAAAATTATTTCATAGTTTTCTATCAACGGAAAACACTTCCACCGCTAATGATGTTAGCGTCTTCTTCTCTGGGCCATCCAGTATGGGCGACACGATTAAAAATCGTTGTAGAGCATTTCGATTTCGATATTATGAAGAAAACTTTTAAACTATTCTGTCAAATAAAGCAACTATGAGTATTTAAATAAATAGAAATGCAAAACTTTGAATCATCGTATCTATGAATATTAATTAGTAGTGTCTAGCGATATATCCCATTTGAAGAGCTCTTTAATTCTAAATTGTTTGTAGCATATCGGGCTAGATGAATAAAATATATCATCAATTAAATCTAGATCTGCCTTTGCATGTGTATTCTACATCTAACAAATACTACTTAAGTGAGTTGGTACGAAATTTCAGTCTCATATATGAACGTAGAAATGTTTTCTTTTTCAATGTTCGATGTCAATTTATTAACAATGAAATAGGATAAGAAAATTTGAAAGTGCATACCGAATGCTAATTAAATTCTTAAAATCGATTTTAAAATTTGTCAACATCAGCGCATGCAGGAGATTAATCTATATTCTAGATGGAATCTGTTAGCTCTACTATGTATAGAATGAAAAGGATATATGAGGAATGAAAGAGAGATATATTAAGAGCGAAAGAGACACGGAATGTCACTGATGTTATGTGACCAAACGAAGAAAAAGTGAACTTCGTGGAACTCGAACCCACATCTTCCGCTATCCGGGCAGATGTGCTAACCAGTTAGACTAGAAGAACATCTTATTCTTCGTTTAGCGTTAGTAAGTTACATCACTAACGCTATTCGTATGAAAACCAACGATATGTCATCAGTGTGAAGCTAGCACGACGGAGCTAGCACGATGAAATAGAGATTCAACTATAAGTCTTCTCAGAAGTATTGCCGGCCCATAAAAACCAGACCATTCGATGCAGAACTTAATTCTGGATCGGATGGTGATACTTTTATTCCCCTACAATACTTTGAGAAAATTCTATCCGGTTTTTCTTGTTCTATTTAGAAGAAAACAAAGGTGTAGGTAAAATTTTTTTCTAAGTATTGCCGGGGAATAAAAGTATCACCATCCGATCCAGCATTAAATTTTGAATCGAAAGGTCTGGTTTTTATGGGCCGGCAATACTCCTGAGAAGACTTATAGTTGAATCTCTGTTTCATCGTGCTAGCTCCGTCGTGCTAGCTTCACACTGATTGATATGTCAATGTTGTGGTCAAAATTCAAATCCAGTCAAATTTTAAATTTGCCCGGGCAAAATTCAAATTAGAAGTTTGCCCAATATAATCTCCGTCAAAATTCTAATTTGAATTTGGTCCAGGCAGAATTCAAATTAGAACTGTGTCCAACAAAATCCCAGTCAAAATTCTAATTTCAATTTTCACCAAAAAATTCTAATTTCAATTTTCAGGGTGTGGGTGTGGGTGTGGGTGTCGGATGCGGTTGGACACAGGATGAACACCCACACCCCCACTCTAGTGCGGGGCCGGTGTTGATGGAGAGATTCACATCCAAACCCACATCCCACACACGCACACCCACACCCCCACTCTAGTGCGGGTGCCGGTGTTGATGGAGAGATTCACATCCAAACCCACATCCCACACACGCACACCCACACCCACACCCTGAAAATTGAAATTAGAATTTTTTTAGTAAAAATCGAAATTAGAATTTTGCCTGGGATTTTGTTGGAAACAATTCTAATTTGAATTTTGCCCAGGCAAATTTTAAATTTGACTCGATTTGAATTTTGACCACAACATCAACATGTTTCCTCCTCCATTAATACTACTAAATAAAGCGTCTCTTTATCATTTAAATGTTGATATTGGCAATTCGAATTTGTAGTTTAAAGGCAACATTTTTGTAATGCGAAGGTGATGTCCAATATCGTTTTTAATAGTCAATGCTGGCATTTTTTCATTGCCGACTTCCGTTGTACTCGTGTATGCGGTTCTATGGTAACTTGTCATTGCAGAAAGAGAAACAAGGTGACGAAGATAAGTTTATTGAAATAAGATAAAATGATTCTTTCTGCTTGCAAAATTAACCACCGCCTATGCAAGATCCAAAAACAAACAAATGATATGATAGCTGTTCTTTGACAACAGGCAATCTCTCGGAAAAAGTTCTTAACAGTTCCTTTTTTCAATCACGAAAATTTTTTGACAACAATATGACACACTTGCGTGTTGCTACAACATAATCATAGTTATCACTTCCTATAATTTCAAATATAAATGCATGCAGAATTCAGTCCATTACCAGATACTTGTCTTGGACTAGCCTAGTTTCGAATCGGTGATCGTATTTACTGAAATACTATTATTTCTGTTATAGTTGATTGATATTGCTTAAGCTTTCTCATGCGCTTTTAGATCCCGAACATACACTCTCTCTTTATTTTTGAATTTTTGAAACATCGACACTAAACACACTATGCACAACCAGTAAGAGCAAAGAACCACACAATTTTTGCAGTTCTAGCATTTTTACTATATTATTTTTTGAATACTTAGACGTATAACATCAGATACTGCAATAGAAATGGATCAAGTTTTGCCATCAACTATGCCAAATAGATGCAAGATTGAATTACTATTACAAACTTCACTGAATGAAACTGAAGAATCATGGACAACAACTTCACGTCAATATATTGAGCAATTAGACAGCCCTGAATTATCGCTCGAAAAAATAGCAGAATTACTGAAATGTAAACGATTCATTACGCAACGTCTTGCGCGTATTTTCTTTGCTTACACAAATCACGATGAAGTTATTGAAAATTTAAATAAATGCCAGATAGGAAAATTAATGCATGTTTTAAATGGTACAATGGAAGTACGCGCACTTGTGTTGTTCAAAGCAATTTGTAATAATAATAATCATGCTGATTATTTAACCAACGCTAAGCTGCAAGAATTTTTTCAACAATATTTTAAAGATTTGAAAATTCTTGATGAAAATCGAAGACATGAAGCGGTTCAAATACTTCTTGAAAAATTTCACCTAGATCAAGTGAGTTTATAATCATTTTGAGGGTAATCTTGAGGATATGCTTTCATGAATATCAGCGACTTATCAAATTTACTGAGAGCTCTGATAATTTCACATCAATCCTCTAGATAAACCATCTGGAAGGTGGATCAAAAGTTCATAATGTTCGATAGTCAATGTTCTTGGATCTTTCATCCTCATTGAACGGCATTATAATTTGAATAGAAACGTTTTCGTTTGAAATCCATTGTTTTTGTTTCATATAGAAAAGTCGAATCGATTTTGAAGAATATTATTCGTTTGTATCAAATAATCCTGTATTCCTTAAATGCTTACCTCAATTTACGGTTAATTCATCACAAATCGTGATTCCTAGATCAAATCAATCATCAGAAGGCAGTAAACTTAAAAAATGTTTTTCAAGTTTAAGCTGCGAATTGAAAAATTACAAACACCTAAAATATATATTCACACACAGTTATATAAGCGAGAATATTTCACGTTTTATAATGTTAATTCTTTATATATTAATTAATCTTAGTCTAATGATTTATGTTATTGTCTATAAAGCACGTAAATGCCGTTACAATCGTCTCGTCCTGCTTGCTCGTATTTGTGGACTGTTATTGAACTTTAATTGTTCATTTATTATTGCACTTATGCTTAGGCAAACGATAGTATTTATTCGAAGTCATAGATTATTACGGAAGCTAATACCTGTCGATGATCATATTGATTTTCACAGGGTGGTTGGACGCTTTATTGCCATTTTAAGTACCTTGCATACTATCGCTCACATAGCTAATTTTGCAAACACGAAAGGTAAGGAACAGTTTTGAAGTTTAAAAAATGAAACATATTTTACTTTTTTGTTTAAATGTTTAGAATATTCTTTAGCGACACATATAGTAAGTTAATTAACATGGAAAAATATTAGAATTTGATAACATTGTTCTGTTTCTTCTAAAGTTTACTACGACGACTAATTCGGGCTGGATAGGTGGTTTCGCACCATTGAGTGGCGTTGTTTTACTACTTATTCTTCTTGCAATGGTTATATGCTCATTGAAATGGATTCGAAGCAGTGGTCATTTTCAAGTAAGAGAATTTACTTTTGCTTTGCTAGCTTATTTCATTTGTTGTTTTAGATATTTTATTGGTCCCATTTACTTTATCTACCTTTTTATGTTTTTCTTATTCTTCATGCCAGAGATTTTTGGGTAAATATTTTACTAATGTTTAGTTCATTGAACTCATATCTGTTTTATTTTTAGAAATGGATAGTTGGTCCATTATCAATTTTTTTACTTGAAAAGCTGTATTCAATTTACACAAGATACACTCGCGGAAAAGGACGAACTCATATTGATTCCGTGACGATTGATCAATCGAAAGCGATCAGTTTAACTATTCATCGACCAAAAAATTTTACGTAAGACTATTTACGATGAAGCTAAAAGATAGGAGAAGACCCGTTTTCAAATCATTGGCTATTTTCTCGCTAAAAGCGTCAGGGGACTCTCAGTTATAGATAACAGTGATCGCTTTTACATTATCAAGATTTACACTCAGATTTTCATATCGTATTATTTTGTAATTGCCTGAAGAAAACATGTGAGCCAAAATATTTTTTGAAAGTTACTCTCGCATGTTCGAATACAAATGTTATCATTTGTTTTTGTGTGAATAAACTTTTAGACATCAAATATTAATGTTCATTCTTTGACAACGAATTTGATAGAAAGTGATCTATTCTTAGGAATCATCCAACTTTCATACTTTTGGATTGAAGAAAGTTTTTATTAGATTATTATGAAGTTTTCCCTGGCAGAAGTATTAAATTCTCAAGATAATATCTATATTTGATCCGATATTTCTGAACTATGCGTAAATTTGTTTGTTGTAGTTTCAAACCTGGTGATTATATAAGTATTAATTTATCACGTGTGGCTTTTTATGAATTTCATCCATTTACAATCAGTAGTGCTCCGGAAGAAACCGATTTTATTCGTGTGCACATAGCAGATAATGGCGACTGGACCAAAAAAGTTCATCAACACTTCAAGGGAATGTCTGACGAAGAAGCTCGCGAACATCAAATTGAAATTTATCGTGGTAATATTGATTCACAAGAAACATATCCTAATGGCCCATATTCAGAATATTACCGCATGCATGATACTGATAATGAGAGAACTGGAAAAAGAGAATCTGTTATAATAAAAGGACCTTATTCATCATGTGCTCGATATGTATTTGATTCTAAACATGTTGTTTTAATTGGTGCTGGTATTGGTGTAACACCATATGCATCAATTCTGTCCAGTCTGATGGCACAATTTCGTGGAACACATTTTGTTCGAAGAAATAATAGTCATGTCTATTATATTTCTGATGGTTTCAATGAAAATCGTAAATTACAAAAATTTGATTTCATTTGGTTAAATCGTGATTTTGAAAATTTCGAATGGTTTCTTAATCTTCTTCGTCGATTTGAGCAAGAGCAAGACAATTATTTGGCATTACATCCAAATGAAAAGCGTTTTCTTGATATACACCTATATTGTACAGATCCGCAACTTGCTTCAAATGTTGATAATGCACCACTGGAGCTTGTAAGGAAAATATGCGCACCAGTAGCTCGACGTGATATCTACACAGGCTTAAAATCTAGAACGAATTTCGGTCGGCCTTCATGGGAAAAAATATTTAATAAATTTATATCGCTTGAAAATGCTTCAACAGCAGATGATGTTAGTGTCTTCTTCTGTGGACGATCAATTATTGGCGAAGCAATTAAAAGGCAATGCGAGGAATTTCAATTTCGATATTATGAAGAAAAATTTTGAAGTTCCTTTTCTTTTCTTGTGTTGATTTTTAGATTCTCATTAGTCTGTACAAAAGTTCATTTTTGGAATAAACACAAAACCTATTGTATTCAATTTTCGGGATCATGCAGAAATTGAAAATAGTTGAATTTCGAATAATCAAAAATCTATCGACATCGATCGATTTTGTCTAGCTACACAGTCTTCACTTTTAATTCTAAATAATTTATATTACCTTCAGAATTGACCAACAAAGTTAAAATTTAGTTGCTCACGGATATTCTACGTGAAGTCGATGTTGCTTAAATCAGCTGATACGAAATTAAAGTCTCATATATGAATTTGCAAATGTATGTTTCAATGAGAAATGCTAATTTATTACCAAGACAATCGAATGAAGAATCTGAAAACGACATAGTTGGTTTAGCTGATCAAAATATTGTTTGAGTCAAGTTTGAACTGGACTATTCCGGTAATCTTATAAAACTAAGTTGCAGATCTTGTCGAAATAATCTCGCTTCCAATGACTCTGGTATAAGCTCGTAGAAGTACTAATAACTTGATCATTTTTTGCATTGTGGGATTTTTCAACGTTCCTATCACTTTACAAATCTATTCACGTCAATCCGTGAAAAACACTATTCAAACAGTAATCAATTAACATTACACCGCTTCCATTTAAATATCTATCTGAGAAAGCTACATGCTTCGTTTTATGCGCAACGAGAGTTAATATATCCATGATCATTTATGTTGTTGGATTTGTTTTACAGTTTTATGATTTCTTTATCTTTGTAATGATAATCAGTCATTTCAAATATAATTATCTTCGGTTTTTTATGGTATTGTTGTTGCGTCCAACTTTTATCGGTAGTAAAGAAGAGAAAAAGATCTTTTTATTTTGATTAAGCCATTAGTGATCTTGCTTTACTTCCTTAGTCAATGTCATCAACAACAGTTAAAATTTCCAACAAGAGATTTTTCTTTCTTTCTACTAATGAGTTTCAGCCTACGATTGTATGATGTAATGGTCGGTTATCGTATAGCAACGATATATACCTATGCGATTGCTTCTTTCCTCGCTATTCGCTCCGCTTCCTGTGTTCTCTTTCTCATCTTAGATTTTGGATTCATCATTATTCACATATTGCTAAATCAAATATTCGTTTTAATCATTTAAACAAACTTCAATCCTTAGCACACCATACATAACAAGTAGGACACCAAAGCGAACAATTGTAAAAATATAGTTTGAGAATCACTACTGTAGTTTAGTGACAATGACTCATACGACATTAAATACTGTTCTTGAAATGAATCCAGTCTCGCAACCAGCAGTTACTAATACAACATCGTCTCAACAAGGTACACATCCTCATATCGACACGGTTAGCCATCAATCAGCTCGAAATGCTGCAGCTTTACTACAGACAACATCCGGGAACAGTAATAGATTTCTCGACAAGTACATATGCTGAAATAAGAAGATCTATTTTATTTCATAATGTTTTTTTTTTCTTGAAAGTTTAAACCAACTGCAAACTACACCTCGTCAAAGAGCTGATATACAATTAAAAAGTTATCTTGATGAGCCAGAAGAATTATTCCCTAGATTAAAAAATCCTAATAGCACTCGTTCAGTTAGAGAAAAACTATCCATCGCACAAGTATCAAAATTACTTAAAACTCAAGAATTTCTTATCAGGCGTCTTGCACGCATTCTTTACCCAACAGCAGAAAATCTACAAGATATAGAAACATTAACTAAAATTGAAGCACAAAAATTAACACGTATTTTAAATGGTACCATAGAAGTACGTGCGCTTGTATTTTTCATGATACTTGATGAGGCTGGTGATGATTATGTGATCAGGACTGGAATGGCAGAATTTTATGTACAATATTTTAAAGGTCTTGCAAATTATTGAAGGAGCTCGATTACAGACGGTTATTGAAGTACTTCTTCAAAAATTTCATCTTGATCAGCTACGTTAAATGGCAATGCGGGTTTTCTGACCAATGAAATGAAGTCATTCTAGAGGAATTTTCGATAGAGCAACTTCAACTGAATATGAGTCAGTTAGAAATGTCTCTAGTGATACATAACTGTTGCCAATTTTTATGAGCAAAAAACAATATTTTGTACTTTGATATTCTTATCTCTTGAAACATTCATACTCCACTAGAGATGCTTAAGATGAGTCGTTTTACTGTAATTCAAGAGTATCATAATTAAAACAGAGAGAGGAATCTATGATCGTCTACAATCCATTCAAGCACACAACTTCATACTCTCTCTCTCTCTCTGATAAATTCACATAAATCTTCCACCAAATAAAACATTTTGAACGTTGATCCAGAATGTTCGAGAGTCAATTCTTCTGAACTGTAATTCTCCTTCAATTGGATTATAATTTAAAAATAAAAACTTTCTCTCGTAAAATTACTGACTTTTGCTTCATATAGAAAATTCGAATCGATTTTGAAGAATTCTATTCGATTGTATCAAATGATCCTACATTACTTCAATGCTTTTGCCAATTTACGGTTAGTCCAGAATGGTACTTTAGGTCTCTATCTAATCCATCGCCAGAAAAAAAATAAGATTCGACAAGCTTTTTCAAGCTGTTGCTGCAAACGAGAAAATTTTGAACAACAGAAAAATAAATTATCAATCCATTATATAACAGATAATCTTTCACGTATAATGATGTTAATACTCTATATACTAATTAACATTAGTCTACTGATTTACGTCACTATTTATCGAGTAACTACTACGAAATCTCATGGTCTTGTTGTAGTTGCCCGAATATGTGGAATGCTACTGAATTTTAATTGTGCATTTATAATTGTACTTATGCTTAGGCAAACGATATTACTTATTAGAAGCAATAGAGCCCTACGAAAACTAATACCTGTCGATGATCATATTGATTTTCATGGAGTTGTTGGTCGTGTTATTATAGCTTTAGTGTTTTCTACATGCTATTGCACACATAGCATATATTGCAGCGATGACGAGTAAGCAAAAAATATAAATTTTAAGAGATGAGAAAATTTTTTCATTTTTTTTCGGTTCAAACATTTAGATTATTCCATGGTGACATATCTAGTAATGAAATTTTCCTTTGGAAATATTCGAATTTAGTAACATTTGTTCTTTTGTTTTTTAAGTTTTTCATGAATCTTGGTATTGGATGGGTTAACGGTTTTGCACCATTGAGTGGCATTATTTTACTTCTTATTTTGGTTACAATGGCTATTTGTTCAATGCAGTGGGTTCGAAGTGGCGGTCATTTTGGAGTAATTTAACTAAAATAGTTTATTACGGTATTTCCATTTTGTTTTTAGATTTTCTATTGGACACATCTGCTTTATCTACCTTTTTATGTTTTTCTTATTCTTCATGCCAGAGATTTTTGGGTAAATATTTTACCAATGTATATTTCATTGAACTCATATCTGTTTTATTTTTAGAAATGGATAGTTGGTCCATTATCAATTTTTTTACTTGAAAAACTGTATTCAATTTTTGCAAGATATACGAGTGGAATCGGACGAACTTTTATTCATACGGTGACAATTGAGCAATCGAATGTGATCAGTTTAACTATTCATCGACCAAAGCATTTTTCGTAAGATTCATTATTTATGTGATTGATGAAGCGTGGGCGTGAATTGAAAGAAGAACGAAACCTACGCTCACGCTCACACTCACAATTGGTTTTCATTGTGAACTTTATTTGTTTCTAGTTTTCAACCTGGTGATTATGTTAGCATTAATTTGCCACGTGTTGCTCTCTATGAATATCATCCATTTACCATAAGTAGTGCTCCGGAAGAAACTGATCTTATTCGTGTACATATTCAAGCAGTTGGTAATTGGACGAAACGAGTTTATAAACGTTTCGATGAGATGTCTGATGAAGAAGCTCTTGAAAATCAAGTTGGAATTTCCCACGCTGATATTCATCCACAAGAATTCGCCGCTCATGCTCAAAATTTAGAACAAACTGAAATAGATGAAGTCGAAGTTGAGAGAATAGAAAATTTCCGAACAGAATCAGATGTCAGAGAAGGAAAACGAGAGCCTATTTTTGTCAAAGGACCTTATTCATCGTGTGCTCGATATGTATTTGATTGTAAACATGTTGTTTTAATCGGAGGAGGTATTGGTGTAACACCGTATGCATCGATTTTATCAAGTCTGATGGCACAATTTTGTGCATCGTCTATTATTTGTAAACATTGTAATCGCACGAATTATCTCTCAACGGGTCTGAGCGGAAAACGTCGATTACAAAAAGTTGATTTCGTCTGGGTAAATCGGGATTACAAAAATTTCGAATGGTTCCTCAATCTTCTTCGTCAATTTGAACAAGAACAAGAAAATTATTTAGCATTAAATCCAAATGAGAAACGTTTTCTTGATCTACATTTATACTTTACTGGAATAAAACATGAGGACAATATTGGTAATGCACCGTTAGAGCTTGCAACAAGAGTTTTCGCACAAGNGATTACAAAAAGTTGATTTCGTCTGGGTAAATCGGGATTACAAAAATTTCGAATGGTTCCTCAATCTTCTTCGTCAATTTGAACAAGAACAAGAAAATTATTTAGCATTAAATCCAAATGAGAAACGTTTTCTTGATCTACATTTATACTTTACTGGAATAAAACATGAGGACAATATTGGTAATGCACCGTTAGAGCTTGCAACAAGAGTTTTCGCACAAGTAGCTGGACATGATATATTTACCAGCTTAAAATCGAAAACTAATTTCGGTCGACCTTCATGGGAAAAAATATTTAATAGATTTATATCAGGTGAAAATGCTTCAACATCCAGAGATGTTAGTGTATTTTTCTGTGGACCATCTAGTATGGGTGAAGCAATTAAAAGAGAATCTGCAATATGTCATTTTCGATACTTTGAAGAAAAATTTTGAGATTATTATTTTCATCCTATTTATTTACTATTATTCATAGATAATAAATTACAAAATAATAAAAAAAACTTATCATTTATGAATTCTTCTTCAATTTTTTGTTCGAGATCATTCAAGAATTGAAAAGAACTAGTTGAATTTTATTAGAAATGTGATCCAATCTAGCAATTCTTGCATAATCATATGCAACTAATCTCCAATTATGTTCGTGCTTTATACCTTTTTTTTTCCTTTTTATTTTCAAGAGGTATTTTGTTTCAATTCGTTTTCCATCTCCAATAAATTCAGATACACTGGCAGATCGAATTGCGCAGGGTTCTCAACGTTGTTTTTATAAATTTCTTTCCATTTCATAAAGGTGTGTACGACGATAAAGGCACACGAGCCACCATGGGTAACGGATAAAAAAAAGAAAAGAAAAGAAAGGAAGAGAAAAACATCGGTGACGTATAATTTACAAAGGTGACATTATATTGCCAGCGTAGATGGAAGACTGTTCGCATTTGTAAGGTGCGCTGTCGCAAAAAAGCAGTTTATACTATTGCGTTTCTTTTAAAGAATTTTATATCCTTATTCTTCTCGGTAGATCTCTATAGTAATCAAAACGAAGTTCTGATCCTCTAGAAATAGAACGATATTAGTAACATTTCGAATTTGTTTCTATATCTCGTACATCAACTGTCGTTCTTGAAATAAATTGAATGACTCATGAGTACTAACTGTAGAATGATGTGTATCACAGTATTTCAACATAAACTATATCTATGTTGAAAATTTAACAAGAAGGAATGAATCACAAATTGATACTAAATTCACTGATTTCTAGGAGTTTTTTCGTGAAACTAATCTATAAAGTTAGAATTTTTAGATTTTATAGAAATATACAACTCCAATCAAAATGTCGAACTATTGTACTGGGACATTTATTGGTCAGAGAGTCATTGATTCTTCGATATCGGTTGGTGTCGATCAAAAACATTCATTGAAATTCACTCTCAGTTTCACTCCAACAAAACGATATCCATCAGCATTTGGCGCTGGATTGTATTATAGTGATCCAATATTATCATCGAGTAGTATTTTACATGGTACTTATAACGGAGTAACCCAAGAAGCGTCTCTAATAGAAATGATGAATGGAACAGCGATGTTTGAATATCAATGTAAATTAACTGCTGATAAAACAACCAGTATGACCTATCTACATGGAACTTGGAAATCATTAGTAAATTCTAATATGTTCGGCAAAGTAGTCATGATAAGTGAACCAGACAATGCATCGAAATCTTTATCAGGAATATGGACTGGCCAATCTGAGCCAGCTGCCGAACTTGCTGATTTCCTCATTCCTATTAATCCGATACGGTGGTGTGCTACATTGTTTCGAAAGAAGCATGATATTTGGCATATGTTTGGTAGCGGTTATTTCGATGATTCAGCTGATATACCCAATCAACCATTACTATTGTTCTCGTTAGATGGCAAAGGAACGCTCGATAATATGACGATAATAAAAAAATATGTAGCAGTCGACTACACCATAGAATATCGAGGTAAGATTAGTAGATGCGATGATACAGGGATCTATGTTTTTACTGGTGATTGGTCAAATACTCAAGCAGGCAGCTATGGACTATTTAGAGCAGTACAATGTCAATTGAATCCATTACTTACCTATCGACTTGATATTTGTATATGTGCTGTATGTACAAATATTCTTAATCCCGGTGATAACCGCTGGTTTTGTGCTCCATGCCATTTCACTACATGTCCCGGGTGCAATCTAAACGAATTGGCCATGGCTCATCCACATAAATTAGAACCACATATTCTGCCTACACAAAAAATAGCACAAGGTTCAACATCTGTTGAATTGATTAATAATGCTTTTACAATGTTTGCATCATCGCCGTTTGTTGGTTTCAAAAGTCGAGAAGGTGGACAATTAGTATGGTTAACATACAGTGATATATCATCGAAATGTTATGCATTAGCAAAATATTGGAAACAATTTCTTTTGAATAAGAATCGAAATATTAGACCATCCATTATATTCTTAGCTGATACTTCACCTGCTTATATTGCTTCACTATTAGCAGGGCTTTTATGTCAAGGTGTAGTTGTTCCAACGAACGGGGCTGTGCCATTAGACGCATTAACTCATTTATTATCGAAAATTGATCCTTCTATCATCGTTGTTGGCGAACAATACTTGGATAAACTTTCAAGTATCATAGTGCCAAACGCGAATACATTAATAATGATAATTAGTCAAGAAGAAGAGCATTTTCAAATAGGAACATCGATTCAAAAAGATTCTATTTCATTGACAACTGCTCTTGAACAAGGTGCTAAGCTTCAGAACGATATTCTGTCTGATGCTCCATTGTCGAATGATACAATCTCAGCCATTCTTTCAACCTCGGGTAGTACAGGACACCCAAAAGGAGCTATATTCACTGAAGATTTACTAGTTCCCAAGGATCAATTTACACTCATATCTCCATTCATCCGTATCGACTATCAACCATTTGATCCTGTTTTAGTGCTCTCGTTGATGAGCACCATACAATATGGTAGTAGTCGAGGACTCACCAATTTAAAAGATATGTGGGATGATATAAGAGATATCAAACCGACTAGTCTTGGCTTAAGTCCAGCAATATGGACTTTTCTGTATAAAACCTACTTGAGGAAACTGACAGGAAATGTAACAGACGAACAACGAGAAAATGCAGCAAGAGAAATGCAACAAAGTTTAGGTGGTCGAGTGATTACTGGCACGTCAGGTGGTGGCTCGATTTCTTCGTCTATATTATCATTTATTCGAAATATGTTGAAAATCGATGTTGTAGATATGTATGGTTGTCGCGAATGTGGTAATATTTCTCGAGATGGTGTTCTCTATCCAGGTATCGATGTTAAATTGATACCCGTACCTGATTTGAATCTAGATGGAGAAACAGAAGGTGAGATTTGTATACATTCGCCTCGGATGATTTCTGGTTATTTGGGAATCGATAAGCACTCGTCTTTTATTGATATTGACGGAAAACGATACTATAGAACTGGTGATGTTGGAATACTGAATCAACGAACACTGAAACTGCTCGATCGATCAGGTACAATGATCAAGAATTCATTGGCTGAATGGATTTCTCCAGTTAAAATTGAGAATATTTTGGAACAACTACCAGAAATTGCATCGGCATTAGTCGTTGGGGATTCAAGCTGCGCATATGTAGCAGTCATTGTCTGTCAATCTGACATCGGTAGAACATTGAATGAATCTGAAATGTTACAATTGATTCGATTTTATGGTGCCCATTGTGGTTTACGTGGATGTGAAATACCACAATGCGTTTACATTGAGCGAGCCATTATTTGGAATGATAAAAATGGTCTTATGAAAGAGAAAAAATGTCGTGCAGCATTACTAAAACATTATTTTCAAGTTAAAAATGATCTGTTTCATCAAGAAAATTTTGAAGAGCACGCAAAAAATCTTGATTTGAACATTGAATTTGTAAACATATTAGAAAATGTGTTAAATAGACCATTAAAAGGACTTGTCAATGGTAGAAACACATTTTTAGAAATTGGCGCTGACTCATTAGCTGTGGCTCGTTTGTGTAAATTGTATCATGAACGTGATATACCTCTCGTTCCATCTACTGTATACAATTATCAATTGGATCATCTCGAAGAGATCCTACTGAAAAAGCGTATGGTTTACAATGAAATCTTAATCGATATTGATTGGCAAAAAGAATATCAGATTCCTGATGAAATCAAAAATCTTATTGAAACGTCAACAAATATTCGAAAAACGAATATCTTAGTAACCGGTGTGGGATTCTTAGGTTCACTACTTATCAATGAAATTAGCAGCAAAACAAACAGTAACGTTTTGATTTATTGTCTCATAAGAGCGAATGATGCTGAACATGCACAGGAACGTTTGAAAAAAGAATTACAAAAGTCTGAACGATTTTCTTCGATTGATTGGTCAAGAATTCGATGTATCGTTGGTGATGTTTCGAAGGAAAATCTTGGGTTAACTGAGGATGTCTACAATAAATTAACGGAACAAATTGGTTTGATTTATCATAATGCGTCTGTTGTTAATTTACAAGTACCCTATAAAGTTTTGAAACAGCCGAACGTTGTTGGTACGTTAAATTGTTTGAAGTTTGCAGTGAAATCCAATGCTCGACTCATCTACACAAGTTCGACAGCTGCATTACCTGCTTCAGTTAATTTCAAAGAAGATTCAAATGGATGGATAACATTGACATCGAATGATATGAATCTCAAAGATGGTTACGGACAATCGAAAGCTGTTGCTGAACAAATATTACATACTGCGTCAATGCTAGGTGTCGATATTGTTGTCATTAGACCTTGTACAATTTCTGCTGATACACAAACAGGTTATAGCAATCTACTTGATTTTATCAATTTGTTATTACTCGCTGAAGTTGAAATGGAATGTATGGTTGAAAATGCAGATTTACAACTGCATTCTATACCAGTAGATTATTGTGCTAAAGCTATTGTTTCTTTAGCGATGCATCCTGATAGTAGTGGACGTTGTTTTAATTTCTATGGAAACGGTGTAAGTATCTCGCATCTTCACGATGCACTTGTTCAACGATTACCTGGTGTCGTAAAGAAAAAAATCGAACAGAACAATTGGAAACAATATGTATTGAAGAATCTACCAGAGAATAGTCAAGCATGGAGAATGAGAGAGAACATTGCTTCGATGGTATTCACAAATGGTAATTTTCAACAAAGAAAATCAGGTGTTCGAATAGAAATGACTAAAGACTTTCTCAAGGAGAAATGCAATCTTGATTGGTTTGACGTAACAGAGCAAGATCTAATAAAATCAATTGAATATATGATCAATATTGGATTTCTATCTCGTCGACCATCTTAACAATTTAATATAATAATACTGTTCATTCTTCTATATGAAACACTTTGCAGATACTTGAATATCACCTATTCTTTCCCTGATACAAATATTATATAGATTTTGTCCTTATTACATGTTCGTACTGAGATACGGAATTTTTTACTTTTTACTAATATGAACAGATGGTGATATTAATCTCGATTTCTAATTCTAGTAAACTCGACTGATTTTTTTCTTAACTTAATAATGGTGCTAAATTTCAGCCATGGAGAATATCAGTTTCCAGATATTTAGCCCATCAAAAAAATATAAAACAGGAGCGACTCTATCTATTTGATACTTTTAGAGTATGATAAATATTTCTAATTATTATACTAATAATGAATGCTCTCTGTATTCATGAAGATCAGCTAACAAAAAGGAACTCTTAAAGCAATCTGTTAACGAACACAATGTCGTACAACGAAATAGATCGACTACTGAAAATTCATTTTGTAAAGTCCTAGGTCAATTCCATATCGGTGATGAATAATGCTTCGATATTTTTGTCTGTCACACTTTGATTGATGATGATCTGCGTGTTAACTCTGATTTAATAACAACATAGAATTTTGAACACGATGCTTCTTGAACCTTGTAGCAATTCGTAATTAGTTTGATAATCATATTCATGGTAAATAAAGCGACTTCATAGAATTCATTTAGCTATGAATATGATAATAATGAACGAGTAATTATGCCCATCAAACTACGATGGTATTCACTCATACCCACTCAATTCTCACACTTTCAGTTAGTAGTAATATGAATTCGTATTGAGTGCATGGGCAGAACAGAAAAGGCGCAATGTTTCGAAGAGAAACTTATTTTATTTGCTGTTATATATTAGGCACTATAGATTATACAATAAAATAGGGAACCAAAGTCACAATATAGGCTGTACTTCAAGTAAATAAGTATTGGTCTCTTCAAAAGCCCTCCAAGCTGCCACAAAGTATTTCGCTGCTTGTGCTTTATCATCTCGACTATCATGCATGAGTCCAAGATTACGTAATGTCAGCACCATACTCCACTTTGCCGTGGGTCGAATTTTCTCATCCAGAAGGAGTGCTTGTTGATGACATAAAAGCGCATCTTCGATTCGGCCCACAGCCATATAGATCAGGCCCAAAGTACGATAAACACGAGAAATAATTAAGGATTCTGAAGGTATTAGCTGAAGATAGATATTAAGTGCTCATTCGGCTAAATCAATAGCACATTTCGCTTCGCCCGTCTTAAAAAGGAGAAAACAATGATTACTCAGAAGTTTTGTTAGCTCTAATTGATCGGCAGCGTTCTGTACGTAACTGGGAAATATTTTTTCACATGCTATTTTAGCTCTGCGAACTTGCCCCTGTTGCCAATCACGAATACCTTTCTGATGACACAAACGGGCAAAATCGATAGGGCTAGCTACCATCCATGAAAGGGTTGTAGATTTGTGCCACACTTCGTTATCGGATGATTCCCTTATATGTGCATCAAACTTATGACGACGCCTATACCGCATCTTTTGATCCAAACCAGATTCTTCATTAGTGAATGGATACAATTTTGTAGAATAGATCTCAATGGATGGAATTATCGGTAATCGAATAGACGACAATGGTTCATTCGTTGTGAGAAGCTTACACAGCCAGACACCACTTGACGAATCAAACGTCAGCATTTCAATCTTAAATTTTGTTCCACTGTCAAAGAGAACTTCCTGCTCCTCGGGAAAGCAACTCAAATGTGTAATGTCAGCAGCTATCACGAATGGTAAGCTAAGATCTACTTTGATTTCGAACAATAATGGCTTTGATTTAATACTTTGTGGTTCATTAGCACCGGCAAAGAAAAGTGCAACTCTTCTATCTCGACTCGTTGATGTAAACCCTTTGGTGACAATCACATTGCCAACTAAACTTTTAAGTACTGCTAACTCTGCCATTGATTGTCTAAGTCCACGGTACACAACAGTAACTTCTTTCATAAATTCTTGTTGTTGACACTTGAGCTCCATCAGTTGGGAGCTTAAATGAGCAATATAGAAACGTAGATTGTGAAAGAACTCCACATCACCTGAACGAAGTATTTTATTGATGAATCGATAAAGAAACGTGTCCTTGGTGAACCAATGTAATGCATTCCCAGATCGATATTTATGCGCAAATCGTCTAATAGCCATTAGCATTCTCGGGTGTCCTTGATAATACTGATAACATCGATCAAGCATAGTGGGCATACCTATACTGTCGTCAGTAATTAATCGCAATACATGATATTTGAGATATCTATAGCAGTATTCAGCTGGTCTTAGTATCCGAGAATGTAAAGTAAGATTAGTTTGCAAGTTGTCATCTATGCTGAACCGCTTTTTGACTTCAGTTGAAATGTAAAACAGCATAATACAAATATTAATACTTGAAATTCTCTTAGTGCTAAAGGTATTACTAGTTATTAAGATTCTAGACCATATCGACTGAATATCCGAAATTGATAAACTATTTGGCAGTGACAACGAGGCAATATAATCATCCATGTAAAATAGTTCTTCAAAATGACTATAATATTCGTACGATAACATTGTCTTATTATCGTCAGAACTCTCTGTGCGATACAATATTTGCATTCCTTTATGTAATGTTTCGTGTTTCATCGAAGAATATCCAAAGAATTTGCTTTTCAACCTTGAGTTGCGGCTGTCAACCACTTTGGCATTTTGTTAACAATTGTGTTGATTTTCCAACTACGCATCAACTAATATGATATAAAAGTTCTAAAAACCAAATAAATGAGTAGTAACTGTAACGATTTCTGATAGAAGAGATACCTGTGCTGATGGTATTACACTTTATTTCACTCTTCGAATCATAAAATCGCATCGATT